TTTTTTGAGACGGAGTTTCGCTCTTGTTACCCAGGCTGGAGTGCAATGGTACGATCTCGGCTCACCGCAACCTCCGCCTCCTGGGTTCAGGCAATTCTCCTGCCTCAGCCTCCCGAGTAGCCGGGACTACAGGCACGCGCCACCATGCCCAGCTCATTTTTTGTATTTTTAGTAGAGACGAGGTTTCACCATGTTGACCAGGATGGTCTCGATCTCTTGATCTCATGATCCACCCGCCTTGGCCTTCCAAAGTGCTGGGATTACAGGCGTGAGCCACCACGCCCGGCCAGCCAATGTGGTTTAAACGAGACGCGATTATGGCTAATTGAAAACTTTTCCCCTTAACCCTAACCCTAACCCTGGGCTCACCGAAACCTCCGCCTCCCAGGTTCAAGCCAGTCTCCTGTCTCAGCCTCCTGCATAGCTGGGATTATAGGCATGCACCACCAATACCCCGCCATGATGACTTGAAATATAGTCAGCATTGGCAAGTTTTGGCAGTCTCTACGGGGACTGAAAAAAAAAGTTTAAAAAAAAAAACAACTATAAGTTTCTCCCAAAGTGAGTTCAGCCTATGCCCAGGTATGAACAAGGACAGCCAGCGTGGAGGTTAGAAGTGAGAGGGAGTCAGTTGCTTTAGATAGAGCTCTTTCAGTATCGCAGCTGTAATTTTGCCCAGGCAGTTTCACCACCAGCACCTCCCCAAGTCCCCAGGAAAGACCAACACCCTCCCTGCCTGGCCAAGTTCCAGCCCTGCCCCACCCCTTCCATGCTGGGTGACCTTGGGCGCGTCACTTGACCTCTGAGGCTTTCCTCTGCTCAGCGATGGAGTCCCGCTGATGGAGTCCTGCTGTCACTGCCACAGCGCCTGGTGATTAAAGCCTCTGACTGTCAAGCACAAAAGTCCCTTCTACCGTTTGTTTGTTTGTTTTTTGTTTTTTTTGGCCTGTTTTTTGAGACAGTCTGGCTCTGTCGCCCAGGCTGGAGTCCAGTGGCACCATCTAGGCTCACTACAGCCTCCGCCTCCCAGGTTCAAGTGATTCTTCTGCCTCAGCCTCCAGAGTATCTGGGATTACAGTCATGCACCACCACGCCCTGGTAATTTTGTATTTTTAGTAGAGATGGGGTTTCTCCATGTTGGTCAGGCTGGTCTCGAACTCCCGACCTCAGGTGATCTGCCAACCTCGGCCTCCAGAAGTGCTGAGATTACAGATGTTCCTCTTTTTTTATAAAGCCGCCAAACTCCTCTTTGGTCTCATGTATGCCTCAAATTGCAATTCTTTCTTGCCAAATAAAACATTCGCTTGAGAGATTCATCTCTACACTTTTAGTTTGACCTAGACATTTTTTCCTTGTGGAAAGAAAAGAGCATCATTTATCTGAGGAATGCAAGTTCCTTTTAATTATGAGGCCCAGACAGACATGAAATTGAGCCAGCAATCACACCCTTGCCCTCTCTGAGCTACAGACTGCTTCAGCTGGTGTGTTGGCTCACACCTGTAACCCCAGTATTTTCGGAGGTCCCTGTCGAAGGATGATTTAAGACCAGGGTTTCAGCGGGGCGCGCTGGCTCACGCCTGTAATCCCAACACTTTGGGAAGCCGAGGCGGGCAGATCATGAGGTCAAAAGAGCAAGACCATCCTGGCAAACATGGTGAAACCCTGTCTCTACTAAAAAAAATTAGCTGGACGTGGTGGTGGGCACTTGTAATCCCAACTACCAGGGAGACTGAGGCAGAGAATCCCCTGAACCCAGGAGGCGGAGGTTGCAGTGAGCTTAGATCGTGCCACTGCACTCCAGCCTGGGTGACAATTCCGTCTCAAAAAAAAAAAAAAAATCGGGGGTTTAAGATCAGCCTGAGCAACATAGCAAGACCCCATCTCTAAGAAAAATATAAAATTTAGGCTGGGTGCAGTGGCTCACGCCTGTAATCCCAGCACTTTGAGAGGCTGAGACCCATGAATCACGAGGTCAAAAGATGGAGACCAGCCCGACCAATATGGTGAGACACCGTCTCTACTAAAAATACAAAAACCAGCCATGCATGCTGACGGGCCCCTATAATTCCAGCTACTTGGGAGGCTGAGGCAGGAGAATCTCTTGAACCCGGGAGGTGGGGGTTGCGGTGAGCTGAGATCTCGCCATTGCACTCCAGCCTGGGCAACACAGCAAGACTCTGTGTGAACAACAACAAAAGCCCCTTTATTTATTTATTTATTTATTTTTATTTATTTATTTATTTTTGGGACGGAGTTTCGCTCTTGTTACCCAGGCTGGAGTGCAATGGCGCGATCTCGGCTCACCGCAACCTCCGCCTCCTGGGTTCAGGCAATTCTCCTGCCTCAGCCTCCCGAGTAG